CAGGGGTTTGGTGCCACCAAGTCCCCAAGAGGTCCCAGTGGGGCTCGGTGCCCGCTGAGCTGGGCGCATGTGTCTTTGTGCCCAGGTCACCCGGCAGCAGTACCACAACGCGCTGGTGGCCAGCCGCATGGACAGCTCGCCCCAGTCACCCGACATGGAGGCCTTCGACAGGGATTCAACCAAGGCCTCAACCACGCGGGGAACCCCACAGACACCCAAGGAAGATGCCACCACCCTCCTGAATGAGAGGAACAGCATCATGTGTGAGTCACCCAGCAGCATCCCGTCCCTGCCACAGGCCAACGCTGCGTGTCCGGGGGGGGGGCTGTGCTGGGACTCACTGGCATGACGGGCATGCCACCGCTGAGATGCAGTTGTACATGGCCCAGGGCACGTGGGCATTTGCACGCACACACCCATGGATGCTGTTCTGCACATGCACACAGGTGCAAGTGTGCAGGCATGTAAATCCCCATTCCCCATGCGCTCGTGCTCCCTGGGGATCCCTGGCGCTGGGACCTGCTGCTGCAGCAGGTGTCCCTCTGTGTCCTGCCCCAGGGCACAGCGCCTGCCCGCCCTGCTGCCATGCCTGCCCTGTGTCCCCACAGGCAGCCGCTCCGAGGGGCTGCGCAGTCCCAGCGAGTCGGTGTTCCTGCGCATGGAGGGCATCCCCTTCATCCAGGAGGAGCTGGCTGACAATGAGGAGAACAGCAAGCGGCAGAGTGAGTCTGGCTGGGGGAAACACAAGACCCTGGGGGCAGCAAGGGCTGCAGTGCCCCGGGGCACTGCAGCCAGGCTGGGCTTTTGCAGACAGTGAGTGCTGCAGCACCATCCTGGAGGCAGAGTCCCCGGGCAGAGAGGCTGGGGCCAGCTCATCGCCAAGCAGCTCCGAGGAGACGCTGGGCAGGAGGCTGCTGAGATCCCTCAGTGAGTGACTGACCCGGGGAGGGAGCACCCAGGGGAGAGCTCTGCCCCAGCATCCCAATGCCCAGGTCAGCTGCTCCGCAGCCCTATCCTGGGGACACCCTACATGGGGCTGGCGTGGAGCAGGGGGGCAGCAGGTACTCCAGCATCAGGCAAAACTGCTGGGGTAGCTCAGGCAGAGCTAGCCACCTGGTCCTGGCCTGAACCCATGTACCCCCTGCCCTGAGCACCCTTGGCCCCCAGCACCCAGCCCTAGGCAACTTTGCTGCTGCAGGTGGGCGCAAGCAGCAGCCGTCGCTGGAGGGTGAGAAGACGCCAGAGGAGAGCTCCAATCTCGCCCCGTTAATCACCTGAGCAGCAGCGTGGCTGGAGCACAGTGCTGGAGGCCCATGCAGGCTGGAGGTAGGAACCTGCCTCTTGGTGCAACAGTCCTTCCCCAGCAAATGGCAGGTTGCTCAATTTTAATAGCATAAAATCAAGTTTCAAGCAGCAAAGCCAACCGGGCTAGAGCAGGGTCAAGGGATGCAGCAGCAGACTCCAACCATCCTTAGGGCAGGAATGGATGTCGGAGGCAGAGTGAGACCCTGACTCATGTTTTTACAGCTAGAAATGTATGTCTGCACCAATATCCCCAAGCGTGGCTAGGAAAGATGCTGCAGGTTTAAGCAGCAGCAGGTCAAGGAGGGCAAGCTCTGGCCGCCTGCACCAGGCTGTGCTTGTGTCTTCCAGGTCTGCAGCATGGGGGTCTCCTGTCGTGAGGCTCATGTTCAACAGCAGCAGGTCTGCACTCGCTTGCTGCCTGCCCGCTCGTGCCGCCCCTCCCTGCAGGACTTGTGCAGAGCCCCATCCCCAGGCGAGAAAGGATGTGCCCCCAGCGGGGCTGAATCACCCAGGCGGCCTGGACCAGCTAGCTGGAGTCCGAGGGCCCTTGCCCAGCTGCTCCGTGGTAGCATCTGGTCTCAAGGAAGAGGTGGAGAAAGGAAAGGTGGAGAAGTCTGGCACGGTGTCCCTGCGGGCAGAGCAGGGAGGGGTGGCCCAACCCAGAACTGCCCTTAGCATCATTTACCATCCCCATCCAGCAAGGCCTGCAGCCACTCGGTGCTGGGTGCTGCACAGACGTGGTCTCCACCATAAGGAGAACATGCTCTTTGGGGGGGTGCGACACGCAGCTCAGGGCCCCAGCACACGTTTGTGCCGTGCCTAGTGACATGCACACTCACAGCGCCTTGCACATGCTGACCATTGACACAGCCTGACGCTCCCGAACCCCTGCTAGGCACAGGGCAGGGAGCCCAGCTCACTGCCACGCACAGCCCCCCTCCCTGCGGAGGGCTGCTCCATGCTGCATTGAACCATCCTCCTCTCTGTGCACGGCTGCCTGTGCGAGGGAGGCTCGTGCCAAGCCTTCGCGTTGGTACAGACCAGTCAGTAGTTTTTGTAGAGGCTGAACGCAACGGGGATATTAACATTAAAAGTGATTTCTCCCTGAGTGACTGGAAAGACGCGCTAACCTCTCCCACCACACTAGCCTGCCCTCGTACCCATGGCCAGAGGTGGCTGGAGTAACAGGACTCAGTATCGCTGAAGGGAGCAGGCAGAGGACCAGGTCAGCAAGTGCTTCCCAATTTCTCCCTGTCACTCTGCTGCCAGGAAAGCTCTGGGCAGTGCTGAGAGTTACACCATAGCAGTGCAGACAAGGACTGGAGAAGAACAGGAGTTAATAGCGTCCCGTTGCAAACACAATAGTGGGGTACACATTCTGGAGTACAGCCTGACAGGTAACAACAGAAATCTCATAGTCCACCAATGCTGATAAAACTTCAGCTGGAATAACTGCATCCCTGTCTGGGCACTGCCTTTCTGAGGAAACACACAGCAATTGAAAGGAGGCCAGAGGAAAGCAAGGGCTGGAAAACAACCTATCCCAAAGAAGGAAACGGGGTCACTTAGTCTTAACTGGTGAAGGATGTGAAGGGGAGAAAGGAAGTTTTCAAATAGTTAAAAAGCTGTTGCAAAGAGGAAAGGAATAATCTGTTCTCTGTTGCCATGGTACATGGGATAATGGGTAATGAGCTTACACTACAGAAAGGGAGAAATTTAGGTCGCTCATTAGGAAAAACAAGACTGGTAAGGCTAGCAAAGCAGTGGTACAGATCACATGTGGGGTGGGCCAGGCTCCACACCTAGAGGTCTGTAAGGAAAGAAGTGCAGGCAGATGTCAGAAATAACAAAAGGAGAGTTGGTTCCTTCAACTCCTCCTGAGATCACCCCTAGAAGTCATCCTTTAACCACTACCCCATCATCCCATCTGTAGATGGACACCAAGAGGAGAAAAAGCTCCCCACATGCACAGAGGAAAGGCTGCCTCTGGTTCACTCTCTTATGTGACACGAACACTAATCTGAAACGGACAAACAAGAGACACCATGCACTTGTTTCTCTGCAAACAGAGCAAGGCAACAAGGCACTATTTTTGCCTTCACTAAGCTGCAGCTCAAGCAAAATCCATCAGGGCAGCACTATCATTAACTGACCCAAGGAAAGGGGCTGTTCCCCTTTCTTCACCAAGATCTTGGCAGGAGGCTGCTCTATCAAGGTGGTAGTATCAGCTCACAGATAGATCTGCAAAGTGACTGCAGAGAGCAGAAGCAGATGGTCCTAGCTCTTTTTCCGTGCCAGAAACAGAGGCTGTTGCTGGCAGGCCCTGCTGAAGTCAGGGGGAGTAGGTGGTGGTTCACCAGGGGCCTGCTGAGAAGAAGGAACAGGAAAGATCTGCTTTTTGACACATTAGCAGCAGGCCAGGAGCTCTGAGCCAGGGAGGGATGGCCAGATGGATGGGTAACACACAACCATCCAGAAAGCAAGCACATACAGATAGACAGGACAGGCCGGACAGCACAGGGCAGGGGTACAGAAAGAACACAAGATGGACATGGGAGGAACTGGTCACAGGGAGCTCTAAACTATACTATGCCAATAGGACTGTGCCCCATCAGTAGCAACTGTGATCATCAGAGATGCAACACACCACAAAGGACAAAGGGAAAACCCTGAAACAAACTAAGACCCAGTGGACAAACCATGATCCTGAGACTGTAACAGCCTGGGAAGAGGCTCGCACAGCCTGAAGGCATGACATCACACAAGGCAGGAGTAGAGTTCAGAGATGGAGGTTTAATTTCCTGTCAGCAACAAAGAAGCAATTATCACAATTATGAATGTTTCCTCGCATAAGGCTCAGAACCCGGTGGGGAAAAGACAGCAACAGCTTCGCCCCTCCCCAAAATACTACCGCGTGACATTAGCTCACAAGCCATACGAGATCCCAGCTGATGGGGCTGTTATCCCACAGCGCATTGCACTGGCACCAGACTTCGCCTAGATCAAACTGATCAGTTACATGGAGTTGATTTGGATGTGCTAAAGATGCAGCTCTAAGTGCCTGAAGACCAGGCTGCTGTCAGCCAAACAAGAGCCAAGATGCCTCATGCTGCCTCCACCCTCCTGGGGGCACTGGCTTACCATATTGCAAGGGGTATTTCAAAAAGGTCAAAAGATGATCATCCCTGATTGAGCTACTGCTCCCATCTTTATTAAACCCCAAGAGGTATGGGACAGGGTAAGCCGTGAGCAGGGAAAGACTCGGACTATGCACTACAGCTTTGGTGACTTCATGTAAGTTTGGTTGTTCATATGCTTCACTGGATTTTTGTGACAGCTTCATGGATGGACTTGGCCACATAGTCCAGGTTCTTGGTAGTCAGGCCACACATGTTGATGCGCCCACTAGCCATCAGGTAGATGTGTTTTTCCTTGATCATGTACTCCACCTGCTTAGCTGGGGAAACAATTGGACATCAGGTCAGAGCAGTGACCCCAAAGCTCAGAAAAGCCCAAAGAACCAGTAAGAGCTGCTTGAATCTTTCACAAGCAGAAAATTTCCAGCACTAGCCACTAAAATGCTGCCTGATGCTTCATCCCAGGCTAGCCACAGAGGCCGTGATACCAGGACTCCAGTGAGGTCCCCGAGAGATTCCTGCCTGGACTGCTTCAGCCCAGTTCAGCCCCAGCAAAACTGTCCTCACCCAATCCTCCCTTCACCAGGTCGCTTGGTACTTACGGTTCAACCCTGTGAAGCTAAACATGCCAATCTGCTCTGTGATGTGGTTCCAGGTGCCCGGGGTTCCAAGGGACTCCAGGCGAGACCGGAGCTCTGACCGCATAAGCAAGACCCGATCTGCCATCGTCTTCACATTGTCCTTCCTGCAGCAGGCAGGAAGCAGAGGGTGAGGACAGGCACCTGTCTGGTTGGAAACCATCTAGCCAAGCCTGGCACTCAGGGAGAGAGCTTCCCCCCTTTCCCTCTCCCACCAGCCTTGGCGACACGTACCACTCGGCAAAGAGCTGTGGGGAAGTAAGTGTAGTTGCCACAATGCGTGCTCCCTGGGAGGGAGGGTTAGACCAAGTGGTGCGCACAATCTTCTCCATCTGGGAAAGCACACGCTGCACATTGTCTGCGTCCTTCCCCACCACAGTCAGGTTCCCCACACGTTCATCTGTGGACAAGCCAAGAGACATGAGCCATTGGTCCCACACATCTCGGCAAAGCAGAGTTCTCTCCACCCCCCAGCATGCCAGCCCCATCTGTCTGGGCATGATACTACTGGGCCAGCTTACTGCCAGACACTCACTGTAGAGCCCAAAGTTCTTGGAAAACGACTGTGCACAGAAGAGCTCAAAGCCCTCGGAGACAAAGTATCGCACAGCCCAGGCATCCTTGTCCAGGCTGCCAGAGGCAAAACCTTGGTACGCCGAGTCGAAGAACGGAAACAGGAACCGGCGCTGCAAGGAGGAACAGTGTTAGAGGGAAACCCTTTCCCCACAACCTTCACTTTACCCCCCGTTGTCCCCGTAGAAGGGAAAAATGACCATTGATCTTCCGGGTGAATACAACGGAAACATGGTCCGGCAACACCAGACTGGGATATTTTCTTTCTACTGTGGTGAAGGAATAGGAAGACTAAAGTGGTCAAGAAAAGGTTAAATGCAGGAGAAAACTGCATTTGAGGACACAGGCACAGAGATGCACTACCTTATATCCTACTATCCAGCACCTGTGTAAAGCAAGTGCCCATGGAGAATCTTTCCAGCATGAGAAACCTCACTGCAGCCCATGCCACAGAGTTTGAAAGCAAGAACTTGGAGGTACGAGCAGAACTGGGATGCTTCTATCCTCTGAGCACAGACAACCAGCATCCTGTCAGCCTCTCCCTTCAACACCTGCTCTGCGGGACTCTTCCAGCTCCTGCCACGTCTCATGCCATTCCCTACAGCCCATCTCCAGCTGGCTCAAG